TRCRMYAAYYYSCKAAWTRSGSCKWTWAWRRTWYSRTATAGCGCAATGCATTCCAAGCCTTAGCATTCCAAGCATTATCTTGAACTAATGCCAAATTCTTTTACCTGAATTACAAGGAAAGAGGAGGGCAGGAATCATCAAATGTTGGGAGTTAAAAATTACTGAAGAGAGTAAGGTGTTATATCACAGCAACACTCCTCAGCTGATATTTCTTTCCTGTTTTCTGAGTTTTTTTCCAGGAAAAGTTAGATGTGTTTCTTATTTGGTAGCATTTAGAAAAAAAGGTCTACTTTTCCTTGATTATTAGATCTTGGAATTGATAAAGAAGAATCTCTGAAGATAATTCAGACTGTTCGAAGCATAAAAGACTCTTCACAATTATGCAATAAGAAGTCAACCACCAGCAGGAAAAATTCATCAAGTTCCATCCCAGGGAGCACAAATGCCTTTGACCTTTTGCAGCAAGAGCAATCTGCTGGTAGCATTGTCACTTTCTGCGAAAAGTTTGATGACATGTTGGGTGGAGGAGTACAAGTTGGCAAAATCACTGAGTTCTGTGGGGCACCTGGCATTGGCAAAACTCAAATAGGGTAAGAGCTTAACACCACAGTAATGTACAAGTTGTAATCAAGATCTTATAAACTAGAAATAATCAGTCTAGCCCAGGGATGGGTATTTGTGTCATGGCATAATAATAATAATAATAATAATCATCATCATCATCATAATCATCATCTTTATTTAGCAATAATTTCCATAAAATCCTCTACAATACAAAATATTAACAGCATAAAAAACGATCCAAAATAACTCACTTTTGGCTCACATCTACTCCTTTTCTTAATATCAAAGTGTCTGGAAAACTATAAATAACTGAGTCAAATCTGAACGGAGTCAAATCTGAACAGATTCAAAGTCTAATAATCTGTTAAGTAAAAGCATATCTGAAACTATACTGAAAAGAGAAAGGTGAATGGCAAATCTAGAACCCTATATACAAGGCTGCTAAAAATCATTAAACAACAATAATAATAATAATAAATGTCTATTCACAATCAGTAAAAGTGAAAAGGAGATAAGAGGTTATCCCTTTCTATTTTATCTCCTGATAATAAAATAGATTACAACATTAATTTAGATACAACTATATAATACATCAAAAATAAGAACATAGTGTTAACTAGTAAAATTTATGAGGTGACTTCTCAGTCTATTCTTAAAAATTTTCAAATTTGCCGCCTCAGTGATTTCCTTTGTCAGATTATTCCAACTATTAATTATACATACAAAAAATGAATATTTGAAAGTATTAAGGGTCGCTGATGCAAACTTAAGTTAAAAATGGTGATTGGCTCTTAAAGGCCAAAAATCGTGTGCAAACATGAAAAATGCCGAGGGATCAAGTCCATTAAGTCCATTAAGCACACTTGTCTTATAACACTCGGTAAGTGACGAGAATAATCTTCTTTGCTCAAGTGTTGGCCATTTAAGAAGTTTAAAGCTCTCTTCGTAGGTCATATCTTGCCCAATTTTTCCAAGGGCACATTTGGATGCTCTATGTTGTACCTTCTCCAAGGTGTTTGAGTCTTTTTTAAGGGAGGACACCAAACTGGGGAACAGTACTCGAGTATCGGACGGACTAGGCTTCTATAAAGTTTAGAAAACAGCTCAGGGTTTTTAGGACCCACTGTTCACCTTATGAATCCAAGCACACTGTTTGCCCTGTTTGCACATTTGTTAGCTTGCATACTCCACTACAAGTTCAAAGTAATGTAGATTCTGAGATCTTCAACTTCAGATACAGCTTTCAATTGATTACCACATAAATAGTATTGAGGACTTGAGAAATCACTCTTTTTAGAAATGAGCATCGCTTCACACTTATCTGTGTTAAACTTCAGCTGCCAGTCATTGCTCCAAGATTCCAGGTTAATAAGATTTTTCTGTAATTCTTCAACATCTTCCTTAGTATTCCTGAGTATCCTAATAAGATATTAATATAATCCTCCTATACTAATATAATCCAGGGGATTGTTAAACCTGCAAACATTAAATGGCAGTGTGTCTCATAGTTGTGATTTATAACAAGTCATGCCATTTGATCAAAAGGGAACAGTTTATATGTATATCTTCCTAAGGCATCCAGACTGAACCAGGTCAACTTCATGTAAGCAGCAGGATTCATGTTCTTATCTGAAAGTGAGGCAGGCAGTTACCCACATTATCCAAGGCCATGTGTGTCAGTCAGTCCAAGATGGCAACAGACTGGCTTTGGGTCAATACTGACAGGATATCATTAAACCTGTGCAACTGAAAAAGCCATAACTACAAAAAATCCATAAATCCCTCAATCAGTACCTTTATTCTAATAACAGCTTTTGTCTAATGAGTGGCCCTCTCATTATGATTTGTTTTTTATTATAATTAGTAATTAATTAGACTAGGGTCCCTGATCCAGAATGGGTAAAAACACCACCAGTCACTTTGTGCCATGGAAACAAACCAGGATAAGCTCAGGCAGTGAGAAATGACTCAGATTCAATTCATTTTCTTCTGCCTTGTCATACTTGTAAATCCTTTAAATTTAATTTGTCATGATTGCCTCTCTTCATTTCACCTTAGTCTATGCCAGTGGATATGTATATATTTCTAGTGATTATTCATATTTTCTATGGACTATTGACCATCCAGATTTATTATTGAATACTTTTTCAAAGTAACAAATGGCTTTGATATTTCTCTCAGAATGCAGCTAGCAGTAGATGTTCAGATTCCTGACGAGTTTGGGGGACTTGATGGAGATGCCATTTATATAGGTAGAGAGATGTAACTTTTTATGTAGCAAAAGCATCACTCTTTCTAGTGTCCCAACCTTTCTTATTAGTATATTCTTGCAACATTTCAGATACAGAGGGAAGTTTTATTGTTGAGAGAGTGGTAGACATAGCAACTGCTGCTGTAAGCCATATGACAAACATAGTTCAGTCTTCTGATGCAGATCAAACAGGTACTGATACATTACATTTCGTGTGAGACTGATTGACCTTTTTGACTGAAAGTTGGCAATGAGTTAAGGCTCCTTTAGGGAATTCATTGTCTTTTGAAGTAGGAGGGCTTTCAGAAGAAAAACTGAATACTTTAGACCTTACAAACCCTTAGGCCCAGTATTTACTTTAATTTACTTCTTTTACCCTTTACACCCTAAAATCAGTATGCATATTCTCCATACCTTTTTCTATACATTTCCCAAGGTGCTGACGAGGAGAATTTGTTTAACAAACAAGAGCTTTCTTCATTTGGTGATCGATTCCTTTATTTTTGTGACCTTTCAAGTGATTATGTGATTCATGGGTGATATTGTAAGGAGAAATAAGATGCTAGTTACTCTGAGAAGTCAAATGGTCAAGTGACAAGGAGTGTTAGTACTCTTGTTGGACAAGATGTTAGTCCAATTGCAGCTTTTCCTCAGCTTTCTGTCAGGTTCCTGTAGGAGTAAAATTCCTTGCCCAAAAACAGAACAAAGACAGTGGCCCTGACTAAGGCTAGAGCCCAAACTTCTATTTCTCATGTCTAGTGCAAAAACTATGCTAAAAGTAGCTACATCTCATTTTATATGATTACAAGTCAGAGTAGCTGAGCTGGGCAGGGGACCAGAAGTGAATCTCTATGTCCATATGCTGTTACTCGTGCACAAGTCCTTCCTCCCTTGTAAAAAAAATTCCCTCTCTTCAATAGCCATGTCTGGCAAGGTTGTACACAGGCTGGCAATCAAAGTGACTGGACAATGAGGCCTGGGATTGAGGAGGCCAGTTGTCAGTTGGGTTAGTAACCTGCAGCCTTGTGACTTGTGTATTACCCATGAGGATCTATTTAATGGTTAAAATAACACAGGAGTGCTTCTTCATGAAGCTTGATCTCTGTGTTTTTCTTTACTGTTGCTGACCAGAGAGGGATCTTCTAAATGGAGCCTTGAAAAAGTTTCATGTGGAAAGCATCTTGTCAAGGATCTATGTGTTCAGATGCCATGACTACGTGCAACTAATAGCATTATCCCATGTTTTACCAGACTTCCTGCTGGAACATTCTAAGGTAAGTTAAAGAAATTAAAGCATGTCTTGTCAAATCAATGAATTGTGGGTAGTGGGTTCCTATGGGTTTTTCTTCTATTTGCTCTGACTAAGAGCTAAGGCTGGAAATGTCAGCTTTAGAAACTGTTAACAGTGGCCAATTTACATAATCAACTCAGTTGAAAGAACCAAATTATCTTACAGTTATTGAAGTCTGGTTGATAGCTATTTCTATGACTACAAGAAAGAATGGAGAAGCCTTTTTTCGATTTCCCTTGTTTGAAATATTTTACATATTCTAAACAGATAGACATTTGGCACCCTATTGTTTTATTTTAATACCTTTTAAATTTTTATCCTCAAGGCAAATGTTTTTGAAATTTCTGAATCTGGAGCATATGCAACAGCATCCCTTCTTTCACCCTTCCTTTCCCCCTCCCCCGCAAGAGTGGTATACTCACACATGTGGCTAGAGTTAATGGTGGGGACTGATTTGGCCCACAGAAAGATCCTGTGGAAGTTATAAGTTATATATGCTGCAACTCAACTTACAGAAATTCATCAAAGTGGTGCAATTCCCCTCCCCACGCCCTGGCTCAATTTTTTTCTTACAATGTAAAGTTGTTTTAATATTGTCGTTATTTTGTCTTTTCCATTTTTCTTTCTAATTTCAGGTGAAGCTTATTGTGGTGGACAGTATAGCATTTCACTTTCGTCATGACTTCGATGACCTTGCTCTGAGAACAAGACTTCTGAATGGCTTGGCACAGAGCTTTATAAAAATGGCGTGTGAACGGCAGTTAGCTGTAAGTAAAGAACTTGAAACATAGAACAAGTTTTTAATTGAGTGTTGACATTAATACAAATATTTTGTCATTAAGTAAGCATTACTTCGCTCTGTGATTGGTCTAGAAATCTTGCGTCATGTTCTCTCAACCAATCGAGTGCAAAACTTCCAACAAATCACAACTTGCATGGTTACGTGTGTTTTCCCATGCTTTGGGCATTTGTTTGTTTCTTTGGGGTTTTTTTTTTTAACTTTGTGTTATCATTGGCTCCTTTTGATACTTTGCTTTTTACTGATCGACTGTCAGGAATGATTTCGTTCTGGTTTGACGACAATTGCAATAAGTGCGCATTACACTGCCAAACAACTGGTATTAAACCCAGGGGAAAACTTTTTCCCCAAGTTATATTTTTTCAGATCTTATTGTTTTTTTGTTTAATTGTATTCCGGCGGATTCTATAGTATCTGCCAGGCCCGCAGAAAAGGTTTCATTTTTGGTAGTGTGTTTTGTAGGGGAGCGGAGGCAGAATGAAGGGGTTATATGCCGTTGTTCTTGCCCATGCTCGCCCGAGAAACGCAAAGAAAAGAAAGGAAAAGAAAAACGTTTTTAGCAGGCTAGTTTCTCCCTGAAACGGCCAGCTTTGAGTAGCAGCCGATAACTCACGACGTTCCCCTTGGGCGTATAACTTATACTGGGCAATTTACTTAGCTTGTATCACGTTGTCAGCATGTATTAAGATTTTTTTTTTATGCCCGTCATAGGTGGTTTTCATGAATCAGATGACAACCCGTGTCAAAACTACCCAGCTTGGCCGGTCACATCTGATACCTGCGTTAGGTGAGATACTTTTCGGCGCTAGAATAGTAAGCTCCCTTTTCAGCAGAAATCAAACTGAGTTGTTTATTTGTTTAATTTATTCGTTTGTTTGTCGGTTGGTTGCAGGTGAAAGCTGGGGTCATGCCAGCACAATTCGTGTGGTGTTGTACTGGGAAGTTAATCAGAGGTAAAAGCTATTGTGTCACGAACTGTTCAGTATTAAGTAGAAATTAGTTTTTTTCTTTCTGTTAAAAGTCTCATACCCGCACAGTATAAAGAGCTGCGGAGAAGGTTACCGCAAAATACTAACGACCTCTGAAATCTTACTGCATAGATTTGCTCTGCGAATTTGAGTTTTGATCCGCCTTTTCTTGTTATAGGTTTGCCAACTTGTACAAGTCGCCTTCACGACAGGAGATGATAGTTCCTTTTCAAATTACGGTAAAATAAATATATCTTATTAACCAAGCGCGAGGGCCGTACTGGGAGAATATGGGCCCGAGATCTTGACAGTACGGACCGAGGGCCGATATTCTTCCAGTACTGTCCCGAGCAAGCTTGGTTAATAAGAGATTTATTATACGACTGAAGTTCAAAGGGACACAAGTGCGGTATCATTCGGTACAATTCGGGACAGTGCCCAGTCCACTTAGCGAATATTGGACCGGCAATAGAGCATTTTGATTGGTTGATTTTAGTTATTGGCCCTCTGACTGCCCGAGTCGTGTAATAAGATACTGTATTACTACCGGTACTGTACCATTTTACTCGAATGAGCAAAGAGTTAAGCTTTACTTATCTTGTTTTTGTGAACCCTATAACTCCCACGATCGGATTCCGACTCTCCCCTCTAGCGGCAACACATTCATTTCCTTTTAAATTAGTTACAAGAAATTGGTGTTAGACAAAACGAACAACTTATATCTGATAAGTTTGCGTATTCTCAACACCTTTTTGCTGAAGAGTGTATGGTCATTGTAGGGAGACGTTACATCTTAGTCATTTCTTGGAGTTAAAAGGTTAACGAGTACAAATATTATTCTTGTTCAATGTCCCTTTCCCGTCTGTAAGTTATTTTTTATTTATCTATTTATTTATTTAATTATTTATTTATTTATTTATTTATTTATTTATTTATTTATTTATTTATTTATTTATTTATTTATTTATTTATTTAAAGATTTGTACAAAGCAGCGCCGGAGCAAAAACAATAGGTCATAAGTCCCTTACTAGGTTTAACCTCCGACCCAACCCTCTCCTAAAATATTAACTTACGGTAATAATATATTCAAGCTAGTAATTAAGCGGCTATAACTTCAATTTGATTAAGCGATCCTTATAAGATAAATTACTACTATTTCTTTTTAGTGCAAAGCGTGTAGCTCTCCTTTGCACATTTTCAACTAAGAATAAACTGCTGATAACAGACTGAGGTGCCCATAACTGAGAGCAATAGCAAAAGTACGAACGCACTAATGAACAGTAAAGACCCAACAGCGGAACACTACCAACAATTCCTGCGCAGCTCCTTCTAATATAATGAATTGCTGATAACAGACTGAGGTGCCCATAACTGAGAGCAATAGCAAAAGGACGAACGCACTAATGAGCAGTAAAGACCCAACAGCGAAACGCTGCCAACAATTCCTGCGTAGCTCGTTCTAATATAATAAATTGCTAATAACAGACTGAGGTGCCCATAACTGACAGCAATAGCAAAAGTACGAACGCACTAATGAACAGTAAAGAAGCAACAGCGGAACGCTGCCAAAAATTCCTGCGCAGCTCCTTCTAATAAAGCCCAGTAACCTATTTGCTTTAGCAACTATCTTGAGTATATGATCCTTCCAAGAAGTGTCATTTACGATCACTACCCCCAAATCTTTTTCGGTTGAGACAACCACCACATCTATACCATTTATACTGTAGCTACGATATGGACTAATACGCTTGCTAGATATACGCAGATTACTGCACGTTGTAGGCTGAAAATACAATTCATTCGACAAGGACCAAGTTGACGATAAAATCTTACGACAAAACGTTGCTTGATAACATTGTGAAATTTGAAAACGATAAAAAGCTAAAATAGAAAGCTAAAATCGACGACGTTTCGACGTTAACATAACGTCATTATCAGAAGAGAAACTCACACGTGATGGCTTGATGCCTCATTTGTACAGAAGATACGTTGATGATACTCTTGCAAGAATGTCCAATACTGATGCTGCCACTAAGTTTCTTACAACCCTGAATGGCCTACATCCCAGTTTACTGTTCACGATGGAGCTTCCTGTTGATGATAGGATTTCTTTCATTGGCATTGATATCATTAAGAATGGAACAAGACTTGAAACTCAAGTCTATAGAAAGCCAACTAATATTGGCTTGCTTTTACATTTCCACCGTCATACTGACAAACGCTATAAAGACTCTTTATTAAAGACAATGTTACATCGCGCTTATGCGCTATTCTCCACTATAGAGGCTTTTAATGAAGAATGCGCCAAATTGCGCTCCATTTTTAGACGTCTTGATTACACTTGTAGTCTTATAGATTTTGTTATTTCCAATTTTGTTTCTCATAAACCTTCTGTAGGCACAGTGGAGAGAAATGCTGACGAGAGCAACATAGTCAGAATTCAGTAATCTACCATTAAAAGATCAGGTTTCATCTAATTCTGTTCGGAGACAGCTGTGTGATCTCAGTAATAAGATTGGCCTCGTTTTGCAGCCAGTTTTTGTAAGCAAGAAATTAGAACAAGACCTAAAACCTAAAGAACCCAAGCCGTCAATTGTTAATTAGCGATGCGTTGTTTATCATTTTGTATGTGATCAGTGCGATGCAGATTATGTCGGCCGGACACCTTTTTCAACGTGTCGCTGGACACAAAAATTCGGCAATTGGCAAGCATTTTCATGAAGCGCATGGTAGGAGGGATCGTTTGAATGATAGTCATTTTAAGATTCTGAGAAAGTGTCAAAGCAAATTTGATTGTTTAGTGTTTGAAATGCTTTATATTAAGAAATTCAAACCTAATCTGAACGTGCAAACGGACTCCATACGTGCTAAACTTTTTGTTTAACCCGCAAATTATTTTCTCTTATTGTTCGTTTTTAGTATTTATAGAACTTATTTTTATACATTCTTGACTTGATAATGACGTTATGTTAACGTCGAAACGTCGTCGATTTTAGCTTTCTATAGCTNCTTCTAAGGACCAAGTTGTAAGCGAAACTAAATCCTGCTGCAATTCTACACCAAACGGCGTTGAACTGAAGGAAAACAAATCCAACTCCTTGTGTAAGAAAGGCACTGCGGTTTTCAGTAGTTTTTTTTGTTTGTTTGTTTTAACTCCATTCCCTCTTTCTATATTTTTATCACCTCGTTTGGAAGTATACAGCTGTTTGATGGAAAAAGCGCAAGTGCACGCGACAACCCCAATAGGCATTGTGGGTAGTTTTCAAATCCGGCGAGAACAGCACTTTAAGGAAGAGGCGTAGTGGGTTTTTGTTCTAAAGACTGACTTTTAATTCTAAACTTGATAGGAAAACAGCAACAACAAAAAGAACGAACTCTGACTCTAATGAACGACGAAAACGATGTAAGCCAAGAGAATATTAATCTCTTGTGTAAACTCAACGAGAACAAATTCGAAATGACCAAAAGAAAAATGTTTACAATGTAAGATATCTTTTTTCATTTTTTTGTTCCTCTCGTATTCATGTGTATGTCGCTACTTATCCCCTGTTCATTAGTTCTTTTGTCCATATTTATTTTTTTTCACTTGTCAAAATTCATTGATTACCAAATACCCAGATTACCTCCGATAATGTCGCTTGCACCTTTCCGACGACCTTTCTGCAAATAGCTGTATATACAAGTGCTTCTCATGCGACTGTAGAGGATCAATTCATGTTCGGTTGGAGCGTTTTTCGATTGAGTGTCGTAAAACTAAAACCAAAGTAATGACGACGGCCAATCAGAAGAAAGGAAAATACTCTAAAGAGCCAGTGAGAACTCAAAGTAAAAGCAAACCAAACTGCCTAAAGTGCGGGAAAACGCGGGCAACTAAAGTCGTGATTGGCTTTACATCTAATTGGTTGAGAAAGTGGTGCGAGTTTCTTGAACCAATCACAGAGCGAGGTATAGCAGGGCAATCTTGGACTACTTTTGCCGCTCGTAAATTGCTCTTTTTGCACTCAGTCTTATATGCTGGAATGGGTGGAAACAGGAGTCAACAGAAACCACTCCCTTTTATATACTTTCCTTTAAGAATAAATATGCATATTGTTTAACTGATATAATTTCATGCGCGGTATGCTCTCTTTTATTTAATTTTAGGCTGATGGCGTGCGTGACTGTTTTGCCAACAATCCCAAACAGAATGGAGGGAGCAGTAAAGAACCTCAGTCAGATCGGCATACTGCAGCATATGATTTGGCGTCCAAAGGAGAAGAAATTGGAGGTTCTGTTGCGAAGAAAAGACGCCTGAATGATTTGACTTGAGAAGGAACAATGTTTCAATTAAAATTTGATCCTCGAGGAGGAAAGAGAAACTTTTCATCTGCTAAATGACGGCTTCTGGCTGACTATTTTTGCGATATGTTAACTCTTTGAGGCCCATGATTGACTAAGACGGCAATTCTCCTTACAATATCAATACTCTACCAAACAGACAAGTAATGTGAATGGAGAAAATTGTAAATCAGGCGATTATTAGTTGATCCAATATCAAATTCTCCAAACTAACATCATAAGAATAGTAGAACAGAGAGTAAACCTGCAGTACTAAACAAAGTACGTTATGTTAGTGTATGAGGCTTTAGTCTTACTCAAGAGTTGTCACAGATCAGTTTTTAATGACGAAACTTATCGCTGGAGCCAAATAATTTTTCGTCGTTGAAGCTGATTTTTCAGTCTCTCAAACGTGAAAATCTGAAAGAAACCGCCTATTTTATCTTCACTTTCAGTAAGGTGACTTAAACAGCACATGACAAGGCAGTTTGTCCCATCGCGCCAGCGGCACTAAAGTTCCCTCTTTCGGCGGGCTTTTCGGACTTAGAACCAACGTTCCCAGGTGGCTTCCTCGTTTTCACATCTAGAAGCAAATGTTTCTACCGAATAAGGAAAGAAAGTGACCTTTGGAGTGTCGCTCAAGTTCATGCGCCCGATATCACGGGACCGAATTTGATCTGAAATAGCTCGTATCAGCACATTCGTTCGGTTGAACGTACTATACTCTTTACACAAACCCAGGTAACATCTCACGGATCTATCCATTGCAGTTGGCAGGCATTTCTTCATTCTTCGTTTGAAAACATTTCTTATTTGACGGCGAATATAGTACCACCGGTACCGGTTACGTAATTGCAAACATGGAATTTGCTTCAAAGGGAACTTGCTGTGTTGTTGGCTGCAAGAAAATTGCTTTCCTTTTAACTTTTGGAATTTTGCTCGTGGTGGCAGGAGTAACTCTATATTTTGAGATGGATCGCTATATCCAGAATAAGATCAATAATTATTTAGTGCTCAAACCTGGGTCAGACGTTACTAAGCAATGGATAAATCCTTCGGTGCCAATATACCTGCAGTTCTATATTTTTGACGTATCGAATCCAATGGAGGCGAAGCAAGGACTACGACCGTATCTTGTTCAGAAAGGTCCATACTCATACCGGGAGCACAGGCCGAAACAGAACATAACGTGGAATTCAAATACAGCTACGGTGACTTACAATGAGAAAATGTCGTACGTCTTCGATGCAGAAACATCTTGTGATACTTGTGATCCATTTCATGATATCGTTACCACAGTAAACATTCCATTAGTTACATTGGCAGAAGCAGCTGGGAAATTCCCGAAGATTGCACGAGATGCTCTGTCGTTAATCTTTGCAGGTTTTCAGGAAAAACTGTTCGCAAAAAGGCGCGTCCATGACTTACTCTGGGGTTACTCTGATCCAATATTTAAGAAGTACAATGATATAAGAAACGATTTTCCTTTTTTGTGGAAATATCTTCCCAAGGTACCATCCGTAGTAGCCCTTCAACAGAATAACACTTATGACGGGGTTACCAGTGTATTTACTGGCCAGACTGATATCAGCATGTTGGTGCACTGGATGGATTGGAAAGGTATGACAGAGTTACAAGTTTGGAAGACCAGATATGCAAACATGATAAATGGTACAGATGGCTCTCAATTTGCACCAGAAGTAAGCACAGATGACACATTGTATGTATTTGTTACTCAGCTATGCCGTGCACTGTACTTAACTCATATAACAAAGACTGATGTCCATGGTATAGAGGCTCTTCAATTTACTATACCTGCAAAGGCCTTTATGAATGCCACTGCCAATCCAGACAATGAAGGGTTTTGTACAACAAAATGTTACCCATCTGGTATTTTGGATGTTGGTGTGTGTCAACCACCATCACCCATAGCTATACCCCTGTTTGCTTCGGCCCCACATTTCTACTTGGGGGACAAATCCCTTTGCAAGCCACTTGATGGTCTCTCTCCAAATGAAGCAGATCATAGCACTTTTCTCAGCGTAGAACCACACATAGGAATATCATTGAAGAGCAGCAAACGACTTCAAATCAATGTGAAAGTTGAACCTGTGGATGGCATTTCTCAGACTACTGGAATCCAAAGCATGTTTTTTCCTGTCTTCTATATAAATGAGACAGCAACAATTGACAGTACAACAGCTGAAAAGCTGAAGAGTCAGGTGCTGTCCAAGTTCACTCTAGTTCATGCCATTGAGCTGGGTTTGGTTTCATTGGGAGGAGTGCTCATCATTATTGCTTTAACTCTGTTTGTTGTTCGTAGTTTAAATCTCAGAAAAATGAGGAGGCAAATGCTTATAGGTTTGATCAACCGTAGTTCTGAAACAAGTCCTCTTTTGTCATAATTGAAGATAAGAGAGTTGTGGCACTCCTTCAACAGCAGTAGAGATGTGACATGGGCTCAAATGTTAAGCAATTAAAGTAGCATTGATGTTGCTAGTGACAAGGAGTAAACAGCTCTCGAGAAATTGTTGTAATGCAACAAGTCCTTTTGTAACTCTTCTTGTCATTAGCAAAATGATATAACAGTAAAGTCAGTTGTCTTCTCTGTTTTGGTTTTGGGAAAACTCTAGACTGTAGGTTTGACAGAAGATTATCCTAGGCAATACAAAGGCTCAATTCTCTTTGTTAGGAGACGTGAATTAGGGAAAGAGGGAAGGTTCTGCAAAGCAGATCCTCTAGAGAACATTTTTCTAAAATTAATCAAAAATTGTAATGCATCAAAAAGCTTAGATGAAAGTTTATGTGAAAAAAAAAAGACTACTATTTGAAAATTAATCAAGATTGTAATTTGTCAAAAAGCTTAGAGGAAATTTTTTGTGAGAAAAAGGTGATAAGTTACTGTTGTCATTGCGTCTCAGTGTTTGGTTAGGAAAATACTCATAATTACTGTTTCATTCGGCTTTTTAAGAACTTAAACATTTTGTACGAAGAATGAAATGGAAAATATCACCTTGAGATTAAGAGATATATTTTTATTATCAGAACAATACATGGTAAGATTTGATTGTAAATTAGTGAAGATATGATAGTTTTATATCAAGGTAACACCTACGCTGGATTTCCACAGCTTTCACGAGTCTGTTCTTTTTTGTTCGTCCTTTGGGGAGGAGCATGGGCCCCGGTTTCCAAACAGCAGCTGGTAGTCAAGCCTAGGTAACATCCTCCAGCAGATAAGCTGGCTGCAATTTCTTGTCACCCGTTTGCTGAATTCAGTATTTATATTGTGAGGAGAAGTTACAGGTTGATCATTTATGGAACAGAAAGGATGAAAGGAAACATCCCCTGATGGGACAAAATTGGCATTAAATATCAGAAACAATATTTATGCTTTAATTTAAAATTTGTTGTAAATGGGGATGAAGTGTGAGGAAAAATTTAGACAGATATTGGCTGTTTTCCAACTTAAATTTTGTTATATATCACCATGTTGAATTGAATGACAAGTTATGGTAGCTATTATTGGCATGATTGCCTTGGAACTCATGCAAACAAGAAATTTTTTAGTGTGATAATAGTGGAAACTGTTTAATGTCATAAACATGCCTTCTTAGAAATTCAGGTTTTAATATTGCTTGTATTTGTTTGTGTTCAGTTTTGATACTTTGCTGTTCTTGTTCTGAGTTTTTCGAACAAATTTTCAAAATGCACAAGACATTTTTGTCATTTGACAGCAACTTGTTTCCCCACTGGAGGTTCCCTTCAATACCTTTTAAAACTTTAAATGTCTATTTTCTCAGACCTGTAGGTGAATCATCCTGGAGGAATTGAATAAAGAGAATTTTGCCAGCAAATAATATGAGAGTCAACACTCTCTCTTTGTTAATAATTAAGCCATTAAAGTTGAACCTGTATTGAGTTGTGCTGTATTGAGCAGTCACACCCTGTGTTAATGGGTCAGTTACTAAAGTCCTGAATTTTTTCCCCTTTATCACTGTAGTTTTCACCTATATTAAGGAACTACCTTTATTACTCAGTCGCAGTCATCCTTTACCTGGTCCAAAAGGGTTGTTTGTATTGTCTTCAACCTGTACTGAATGGTCACTTAAAGCCAACTCTAATTTTAACCTCTGTTAAGCAGTTACATTCACAATTAATTAGATCCAAAAGGCTTGTTGTTCAGTCTTCCACCTGTACTATACAGTCACTTAAAGCCAAACCACTCAAATAATTCCAAGAATAATCTTTCAAAACCTTTTCAACCCTTTTTCTCTCCAAACATCAATGTAAGTAGTATTTTTGAGCAAGATTCTGGACATTAAGTGATCAATTATGTCATAAAGTGGCATTGTGTATCATTTTTTTTAGAATACCCCTAATCTGTACAACTTGTATTAAGCAGTCAACCATTGTTGAGTGGTCACCCTGCCTTTCTCCGTGAGTGACCACTTGGTACTGGTTTGACTGGTGGTTTGACTGTATTTTTTTCACTCTTTGTTAATGACCTTGTAGTCAAGTGGTGTTTGATTCTGTAGCAAGTCCAATTGTGTGGATGTCTGATTGTTGTCAACTGAAGTGACTTGAGGGTTGGTTCACCTCTCATTAAAGTGGAAACTCCTTAATTCCATAGCTCTTTAAATCTTTTCATAAAATATCTCAACAGCAAGATATTTTAGCCTGGAGTGATTGAGCAATACAGGTTCCACTATAATTTGTTTATCAAAACTGCACCCAGAGTTTTAGTAAATTTTGAATTAAATTAATTTTAACTGAAGTGGGGAATTTTTTTTTTTTTTTTTTTTTTTTTCAACGAGAGGGTTATTGTAGGGTTGTAAATGATGGATATTTGCGCTTGTAGCGTCTCAAAAGTTGGGCCTTCAACTTCATATTTCCTTATCATACTTATGAGAATTCTTTCCCAGCTCATTCAGTTCTTTAATTTTAACCATCTCTTTCAAGTGTTGGCTTTCTGGTTATCAATCATTCAATAGCGCGTTTCGTATCCCACTTGAGTCACTTGGTTACCTGTGTCCCGAACATCGTAAATTAATGACGCAGTTAAAACGCAAATTGAATTGTGGGAAATCAACATGTCGGTTCAGATCTCGTGTGAGTTGGTACTGTTAGTATTTAGTTATTTCCGCCGGTCTACAATGTGGAAGTAATAATTTCAACAAGTGTACTGGCTATGGCTATGCAAACTGCTGTTGTCTATGGCCGTTTAATTGCTTCACATGCTAGACAATTTGTGGCACCGCTTCTGAAACGACAGAACTCTTCGAAGCTTCAACTAATCACCGCGAGTTGTGGGTTTTCAAAAGACCTTGCTCCAGGGAAAAGCAAGTTCTTATACGGAGAAGATGCCTTCTTTGTAGCCAGGAATAGTGCCTCTGACGTGCTAGGTAAGAACTGTTTCGAAACAAATCGGGATCATTTTGTCTATGGATGGCAAAAATGTGTACATGTTGAACTAAATATGGCTTATGTAACACACGAATAATTTGTCTGTAAACAAAGGCAAGAGAAATTTTAAAGATGTTATCAGACGGAAAGTCAAGCACTTGAGACCTTTAGCTGAAAATGATTTCGACTCCAGTGCAGGTAGTTTTGAAAATTTTGGTGAATATAAAATATTTCGTGGTATTTTACTTAAGTTAGCGCCTGCTGTAATTGGGTTCGTTTCGGAGTACAAAATTAACACATGTGCTCTTAGTGTGAGTCCCATTTCCTGTCGTTGTAATTGAGATTTCTCCTACTTACTTTGGCATAAAGTAATAAAGAGTAAAAGTGAAATTAGGAGTTGCAATTTTCTAAAATGCTGACATTTTGTCAGACCAATACAGTACAATTGAGTACTTTTCCTCTCAGTAATCTCGCTTGGTATTCTTTGTATAATTTATTCTCTTCGACCGCAATTTAATTAAAGGTGCTTGCTCTGCATTTCCTTTATTAAACATAAGAAGGGATTGTGATCAGTACTGTTCAAGGTTTTTTCCTTCAGGCTGCGAAATTTTGCATAGAAATGTGACTGTTCTGCTATGGACCTCTACAGAAATCGCGTATTAGCACTCAATATTTTTTTATTGTTAATTCAATACTGGTCTGTTTCAGGTTGACAATTTAATCCATAATTGCTTCTTTCTGTTTCGTGTAAGGTTCTCTGTTTCACACTAGTCATGATACTCTTTTGTCAATTCACAAATCTTCAATGTTTGTGTGAAACTCTTCATCATCAACTGAAAACAGCTTTTATTTCTAACAAAAACCTTACCCTTCCAGGCTTAATATAAAGACTAATGGTACTTCTCAATATTGATGTGGTATGATTGACTGCTTGCCGAAGGTTTTGTTTCAGTCCATTTGTGTTAATTACAGTTCTCTCTTTCAAGATTTTTCCTTTATTTTCAATAAATCAAGTTATTACTTGTAATGAAAAGCTGACAGTAGCACTTAAAGCTATTTCTGTTCTGCAAATAAGAGTTAGGAATTTTTATTGTGGCAAGAATTTCAAACAGAATGTGAAGAAGTGACATGAATATTTCAATTGGTCAAAGAATACTTGAAGGGGCACTAAACAAACAGAGTGAATATTGATGATTGTTTTTTGTCATGATTTAAAGGAACTAACTATTTTGGCAGAACAAATATCTTTTTATATGTTTGGCTCTCTACTATTGAAATGTACTTTCATTCTCTTTTGACTGAAAGGGCCGGCTTGCATGTTGCAATTCTGTTTGTTGGATAGACCAAGAGGAGACCATTAGGCACCATTGTGATGCATCAAGATTTATGTATAATTAGTCATAATCCCCTTGATGTGTGATATTGATGCTGTGTAGTAAATCAGGACAGACAAAGAAGATGACAGCAAGAGACTTAAGTTTGTTTGTTAACTAGCTTCATTTTGCAGCCTACAAATTTGATTTCTTCATTTGAAGATGGAAAAATATCCATCAAATGTGACAATAAAGCAGCATCCTTCAATTTACTTTAAGGCAACTCTGATTATATAGTTATACATGAGTACACACTGAGAATACACAAGAGCATTTTATGAGTGCAATATTCTTGTGATATTTGTCCAAATTAAGTTATGGTGATATCATTTGTAAGCACATTCACTTTTTTGGCTAAAGGAGTTTGTTCTAGAAATTAGCCAAAGTGGGTCCAGTGAGCCCCACTCTTTTCTTTTAGGGGATCTCTTTCCAGGGGGGAAGGGTGTCAAATGAAATCCAAAATGGTGTTTGAATTTGTGTGTTTAATGTAATCAGTGAAAAAACAAAGAAGAGAGAGGGAACAGAGTCAAAAAGAGGCTATAAGTTCAAAATGAATGTTTTGTTGGAGCTTTCAAACTAGTCTTGTTATCAGCATTGATATTCTCCTTACAGTTTTCTGTGCATTCCCTTTGAATTGAATGGAAGAATTTTTTAACAATTAATAGCTTGACTAGGTGACCTAAAGAACCTTGGACAAATTTTATACTGCTATCCTTTTTAATTGTGCAGATCCTATAAATTGCTGCTCTTGAATAAATGTTGGCTTAATCTCTGATCTTTACATCATATCCCATGTGCTTAGGGGTCGCTGATGGAGTGGGCGGATGGCGTCAATACGGAATTGACTCTTCACTCTTTTCAAGTGCTTTAATGGAAAGCTGTAAAAGATTTGTAATAGAAGGAGGTCTGGAGACACCATCCCCAATAAATGTTATCAGAGCAGGATTTCAAGAACTCACCGAGCATAAAGAGCCACTATTTGGTAAATGAAACTTTATGTGCAGTCAGTTCTACAAAAATGGTCTTAGAAACCATAATTTTTTCTCTTTCTGGTTGTACTTAAAAATGTAGTGGTTAAAAGAGGAGTTTAATGCAGGTAGCCCCAGGAGACATGACTCTGTGCAAAAGTCATTTCGTTGTCAAAAAGGGTAAAAGAATCAAAACAGGAAAAAGAACACAGGTGTATGTGTAGTCACACTAATTTCCTTTCAGTCTTTCTCAAATTGTCATTTTACAACAGTTTGGATGCAAAATCCTCCTTAATGTTTCTCAAAGCAATTATTTTTATATTATTTTACTAACTTCAGTCTTATCAGATTGGCTTTATATCAGCTTTGCTTATGCCATATTGACCAAGCTTTTTGGTTTTGATAGCTGGATGTTGGCTGAGCTTTCTTTGGCATTTTTTTGGTGGACAGGTAAGGTCCATAAAAACACTAAAAAGGAGAAGGCTAATATCCAGCCATCTTCACCAAACAAGATTGGTTAATAAAGGATTTGTTATGTAGCAAAAAGATTTTGTTTTAATCAGATTCAAGTATGACTTGTTTATATCAAGAGCTGGGAAAGAAAGCCAACTATGTTTGTAGCACAATAAACCCATACAGTACAATACAATACAATACAAACTTTATTGACACTCCCTAAAGAGGGTTTTTCGGTGACAATGATCTAAAAATTACAAAATTACAATACTAAAATGCATAATAGAAAAATTAAGGAAGCTAAAATGTTAATAAATGTTTGCCAAAGTTACAACTAAGAGCGATGAGAAAGGAAAGCAGCAAGTAATTTG